GGAAGATTATTATAGTCTTTCCACCTATAAAGGGAAGTAAGTGTGATTTTCAAAATTAAAGGGATGTTAGGTCAAAATGTTAGAAACCTCAAAGGAGGTTTTTGAAATTATCTCAAAAAAATTATTTGTTTCCCCATATCTACCAAATTTGGTGCCTATCCTATTTAAAAGGAAAAAAAATCCTGGATGTGCCAAACTATGTTTCCCACATCCCTTGTTGCATTTAATATGGGAAAATGTTGTTTGCATTCCTATTTTTATTAATCGCATTCCTACTATCACTTTAATCATTTAGCTTTCAGTCATTAGACTCTATGATAAAACAAATAGTAGGAGTGGAAATAACAAAAATAGAGTGCAAATAACATTTCCCTTAATATGGGGTAAAATACAGAAAAGGGCTTCGCCAAAAGTTAACCGGTCACCCTATAATTTTAAAATATCCACATAATCCCTTCGTATTCTAAATTAACTAGTGCTTTTGGCACACTCTACATGTGTACTTATTTGAAAAATATATAGTTAACTTTTTAACAATAAGTGGTTCTATGTAAAATCATGTTAGGGCATTTATGTTTTTTTTTTCTTTCAGAAATCTATAACTGCTCTTTTTTTAATTTAGGAAGTTATTATATTTAAAATCATGGTAGAGAAAAAGAAGGGATGTGGGTAGTTGTACTTAAAAGTTCAATAATGGCAGAGAAAGAGAGGGAAATTGAGTAATTTGAAAACTAAGTTGTATTTTTTTACCCTCATTTATTAACCAAGTTGTATTTTTTTATTATTTCTTATATTTCTTTCTTTTCATTCCTTTTTTAATTTAGAAAAACTACTTCTTCCTCAACCTCATTTTTTTCTCTTTTTAATATTCCTTTTTCTTCCTTTTTCCTTTTGCTTTCATTCACCACCCCAGAACCTCCACCACCACCTCTTGCTATCTCCTCTCTCTTCCTGCTCTTTCCTCCCTGACCATCACCTCCCCTCTTCCTTCTCCCCCTCCAATAATTTTAAAAATTTTCAAAGTACCTCAAAATTTCTAACATTTTTAAAAGTACCCTAGGATGGTTAGGCAATAATGAAATGAAAAGGAAGAAAAAGTCAAACCCATACAGGAATTTTAACACCAAAAAGAAAAGGAAGGACAATGAAAAGAAAAGAAAAAAAATTATGCGTCACTTGCAAATGATGCACCAATTGCATGCTATGTTGTTAAACTCGGCCTGAATAGTTATTCAGCTAAACTATTGGGTTAGCGGTCAACTAGTAGGATCAATTGGACCGTTCTCAAAACTCCGTTGACGTCAAGATGTCATAATTATTTTATATTTTTATAAGTTTCAGAAATATTGAAATTAAGTTCTTAGTTATATTTCACCAATCATACCAAATGTTCCTAAAATATTAGATTTGCAATCATATACACCTAATAATTATATATAAAAATGTAAATTCATGGCTAAAATATGTCCATTCTCCAAAACTACATGAAAAACTAAATTAAAATAAATTAATGCAAGTTGAAATCACTGATACTAAATTGATAAGATGATAGGGATGAAAACATCTTGATTCAGAGATCATTCACAAAAGGGAGAGATTTTGGTATTTGCATTAAGTGGGTTGCATTTTCTTTTTTTTATTAATAAATAAAAGTGTTACAATTTTGGTAAGTCAAATTATGTTTGGGGAAAATAAGAAAGAAATGTTTGAGAACTGGATCAACCAATCAAATCAGGTCACTAGTATAGTTAATTTTTAACGGTTTTGACTAGTTTTTTACTAAAGCGGTTTTGTACTATAAATCAACTCGAGAAGAAGGTCGGTTCACGATTGAACTGGTCGAATCAACCAATTCACGATCGGATTGGTCGAATCGACCGGTCCGGTCGAAGTATAACAACACTAGTTGTCGGTCAAATTCCATATCAGTTTAATACATGATAAGATTATATAGACATTTCAAAGCCATAGGGTGGCCAATTAAGTCTTGGCAAAATCACATGAGGATTTTTCTATATTTTACCCTTTGCTATAAATATAAAAAAATCCGCTCCTTGCAAGGGCGCCCATGCTGTGCGCCTTAGTTAGCTAGGAAGGCTTTTGTTTCCTTGCCTTTTTTTTTTTAATTTCTCCATCAAAATAGGAAATAATTTCAAAAACCTCCCTTGAGGTTTCTAACAGTTTCACTGTCCTATTTTGAGATTTTAAAAATATCACTAACCTCCCTTAAAACTTATTTTCTTTTAACAAATCTACCCAATTCAAAAAAATCAACAATAAAAAAAATGATTTCTGGAGTGAGAAGATTATTTCGTTCCAAAACTGACCTTCCACTTAGTACAAGTTAGTTGATTCAAAATCAAAATGGAATATTAGTTAAAAATAAAAAGTAAAGACCAAAGTTAGGAAGTATCACGTAATTGAGGGAATTACAACACTAGCATGACTATAGTAGAATTCAGTTACAATGGCTATTTTCAAGCAAACTACATAAAAAAAAAAAAAACAAAATCAAAGATCTAGAGAGGAAATTTTGTTACTTTGGAATCAAGATTTACATGTAGAATTCCTAAACTCTTAGTATTGGCCTTTGAAAGATTTTGAACAAAAATTGGACAAGACAAAGCATGGCCTCCTCAAGAAGAAATACCACAATAGATTGCTAATCATAAAATATGTTAAAATATGTCATTTTTTTTAATTATTGTTTCTCTTATGAGTTCCTTTATTTCACATAATTAATAAGAAATTTCCATAGTTTGTAATTAAAGAGTAACAACTTTCATGCAATGTTTGGATTAATAGAAAGGAAATGATTTTAATGGAAAAGAAAGGAAATCAAAGTAGAGAAAATCGAATTCTAACCTTCCTATTTGGATTACGTATGCAAAGAAAAGAAAAGAAACACCAAATATTTTGGAAAAGAAAGGAAACAAAAAGATTATGTGTGATTACATTTTATTTGTAATTTAATAAAATCCAATTGTAAACATCTTTTAATACTTTACCCTCTTTTTTGCATATTTTTTTATATATATCTAGTTATTCTCATGAAAATTCTATGATGTAATAATATAGCAATAGGAGAATTAATCTTTTTTTCAGGAAAGAAATTTCAAGAACTACTAAAATATAGAAAAAAATCTTAAAATGTTAACAATTATCATTAAAAGATTTAGTATTCAAGATTTTAAAATTTATTGCATTTCAATTTATGGTTAATTTAGTTATAAGTGGCTCAATTATGTACCCCCATATAACCATGTAAAATCTCCTAAATTGTAAGAGTCAATGAAGTAAGCACATTTTTAAAATTTCGGAGTGGGGTAGCAAAAAAGTGTAGAAATCTCATAATAAAGTATTTCCTGAAATTATCCCTTAGAATAAAGTATTTTCCAACTAAAAGTTTCCAAAACTATTTAGCTATTGGATCAAGGTTAGATGCCAAGGTTCCTGCCCAAAATATATCTAGGTTCAAGATTGATTATCTTTTTCGGGAGTTCAACAATACTTTTTTGATACCACACCCATACCCATGAGTATCAATTCACTTACCGTTAGATATATAAAAAGAAATATCAACCCTTAAATAATTTTAGAAGTTTGAAATTATTGGTAGGCACCGGTCTATAGCTTTTCAGGCCCGTTAAGGTTTGGTAGGAATTTAGGTCAGTCTTTCATTCATATAGTAAATTCTATCCTCTCCCTAGAATTACACATTTGGAAAGTTTCTTTCTCTGCAATTTATTCTCTATAAATTACTGACTTAACCATGGGAGTTTTTTCGAGAGACAGAGCCCTACCTCTCTTTTATAGGTCAGCACTGAAGTTTTGTCAACTACTATCCGCTGTAGACAGTTAAGCCTTTTTTTTTTTTTTTTGTATTAACAATCATTATCAATGCCTTTATGCTTTTATTAATTATTACCTTCCTTGCTAGGAATTGCTACTAGGTTTCGCAAGTATTTTTCTACACGCTCCTCATCAGCCCAACCATGCAACAGCACAAATTAGTCAAGTATCCTTTCCAAACGGAACCCAATTGAAATTAATGAAAGATATGAAGGCTTTCTTTCCAGTTGAAGCCAATGTATTTTCTTTCTTGAAATAAATTTCCACCATTCCTTGATAAAAATTCAAAAGCTCATGGATTGGACTAAAAGATGAACCAAACTATTCGATACTCGAATCGAGTTCAACTTGGTAAAAGTTCGTTCTAATTTGGTTCGCTAACTAATCAAACTAAACTTAAACAACATTTTATGTTCAATAATATTCAAACTCGACAACAAAATTTGTTTAAACTTGGTTTGACAAATAAACAAGTCAAATTTGAACAAAATTTCAAATTTATTAAATAATCAAACAAATTTGAACACTGGGATGTTCATGTAATCATGCATACTATGGCAACCAATATATAGTTTTTTTTTTTTTGGCTCAACACACACACTGTTTTTATTAAATAAAATTACTTTCACTGGTGAGAATTTACATAAATGGTACATTATTTATATGCATACACATACATATATGTGCATGCATAAAAATACATGAGATTCAACTTTATGCGTATATACACATGGCTAAAGGTTCAAGATTGGCGTGATTTCATTCTATTTTCATATATATATATATATATGTATGTATGTATGTGTACATGTATATATATGTGTGCGCGCGCATGAAATTCAACCATGTAGTAGAGGCCACACCGTAGAAAAGATTCAACTGTTAATGTGAAGGTAGCTGATATACTTTAAGAGCTTCAATGTCGATTGTGTGTTCTCAATCCCAGCACGAGCATGCATCATAGATGACCTTCCCAGTTCCGTCACTACACCAACATGTACCCTCATAAACACGCAGAGACAGGCATCTTCAAAGTGAATGACCTTCAGAATTGCGTCCAAGTGTGCAGTCAAGCGAATTCAAACGACACATCTCAACTATTTTGGATATATATATATATATATATAGAGAGAGAGAGAGAGAGAGAGGGGATCCAAACTTTACATGCTTTAGAGGTAACAAAGCAAAAATCACCACTCAAACCGGTAGGAAACTGTTTCAGTCTGAAGTTTATTTGGTATGTACAATGGACTGGTACAGCAAATATGCTAATCAATCACATTTCCCTGGATCTTCCAAGAGAGAAGGCTATTAACATGTGTAAAATAGTGGCAATTAAGAGGAAAACTTCCCTTCTTCATTTCCACATTTTTCATAAGCTGCAAAGAGCAGTCATAAGCATATAAAGAGCCATCTTCATCCTGGAAAATCATTTCGCCACAAATCCTCGAAAAGTAAAGAGGGATCATACAGCTCTCGCTACCCACTGTGATGCTGTATTGCTTCGTCCAACCTTCCCCACATAAATTCCTCAAGATCCACACATCAATTTTGCACAATTCTTCATGACTCACAAATCCAAGATCCCCACGCATTTCCACAATCCTATCTTGAATTCCGCTACTTCTTGGGAGAGGTATGTGATGGAACTTCTCATCATCAACTGTCATAGACACTATGTACTCACTATGATCAACTTGCGGAATCCAATGTATGGCCCTGATTGCAAAAACTGGCTCATAGCCAAACCAGCCAAAAGCTCCAAATGCAGGTCCATCAACCATTCTCCAGGATCTATCTCCAAGATTAAGTATTTCGCAGCTAACATATTGCATCTCATCCCGGAACAAGTGAACCAGTTTGAAATGTCTGGTAGTCTGGCTAAATGCAAGTCCATATGATTCACTATGAGGAGGGAATAAAGTACCTAAAGGAAGTGCAGTCAATTCCCTAGTAACAGGATTCACGGCAATTAATCCACCTTTTTTCATTTTGTTATCAAGTAAGATTAGACCACCGCAAGCAGCTCTTACTGCTCCCAGACAAGTGGCATTATACTCTTCCATCTTCATCTTGCAATTTTCTATTTCCATGAACTTGATGTGAAGCAATGAGGTCGGATCCATAACAGGTCGCTGAAGTACGGGCACAGATTGCAATTGAAAAAGCTTAGACTCAACAGAGAAAACATTAGAATGCTCTTGCAAGTTGGGTCTGCTATAAGGAAAGAAGACATCTCTTTTTGGTGGAACTAGAAAAATTAAGACACTTTCAGAACGTTGAAGATAGGCTTCAATGAAAATGCCACTGTTGACAATTCTGTACCATGTCTTACAGACGAACCTAGACCTTTGGAGTGATTCAAGAGGCAGTCGAACAAGTATATTTGATATGCACTCTGTCGGAAGATAGGGAATTCGGCTCTCATACTGCTTTCTCTTCTCTTCCTCCCGCTCTTTCTTCCATGATGCTCTTTGCTTTACTGACTTTAGAAAGCTAATGGATTTGTCTGCCATCAACTTATTAGACTAAACATCCAGCAAAGCCCTGAGTGAAGCTGTAGAAAAAATCCAAAAATGAGTAAAATAAAAGGACGTCAACTCTTTAGAAGGATAAGAAGTTAATATTTGTGCTCATACCATGATAAAAAAAAAAAAAAAAATACGGCTTTTGTACTTTCTGACATTAATGATGGAAGGACTAAACCTAGTTGAACAAGATCAAGCTATATTAGCTTTGATCTTTTGATCCGATTACTTACTTCACTGAAGAGAAAGAGCATTAAAAACCCTGAATCAAGACATGTTTTAAAACATAAGGATTCGCTAATGTCCTTGATCATCCATTAGTCAAAGGAACAAAGGAGTAATGCTTGTTATGTAAGAGGCAAGTAATGCTGTACCAAAGATAAGAACATATCACAAGCAATACAAGGGAAATGAAACTGTTATTAATAGTTACTGTTTTCGCAATGGTATCTCAAGCAGCTAGTACAAAGGATCAACAGGAATCCATCTTCACGAGTTGGATGGTCTAGATTCACAAAGGCACCTTAAAGGGATCTCGTGTGCCCCTTGTGTACCAAGAAGCATGCAGTCCAGAAACAAAGAGATTGTTACTTTAGGTTACCAAACATTTTGCAAGTATAAATGAGGTAGATACACTCTATCTCAACAAGGGTCCATGGTAACACTTTATCGTATTCCCGGTATACCAAAAGACCTTTCCTATTTTCTCCACATTTTCTGTATTGGGAAATAGTGAAAGATCACAAAAAGTCTTTTTCAGCTGAGTTTTGAAGATTCCTTGTCATACTTGTCTCCTCTGCTAGATATCTGCTTTGCTTTCAAAATTTTTTGCTTGATGGAAAATTTAGAAACTGAGAAACAGGTATTTTAGAAATTTTAGAAATTTTTTGTCTGAAAACTGAATATCTAACATCATAAAAACAGGTATTTATGCTTAAACAAGACCAACTTAATGAAGATCAAGAAAATACAAAATGAAAATGTGGTTTTACAGTTTTAGCAGACTTTGAGAGGTTTGGAACATAGATTATGCTGATTCTTTCATTTCAACTTTTCAGACAAAAAACAAAGACAATATGCAACAACAACTATCAATAACGAGATCTGTGGAAATCAGAACCTGTAGGAATAATTATTATCCAGAAACCACTCTACATGTTAAAGAGATATGTATCAAACATACGCCATGAGTAGCTATGAATAAAGCACCTAAATTAAACCTCCAATTCTCCACCAAAATGCTAAATTACACCAAAGTCATCCAAATAGAGCAAGTAACTATGGTTAACACAATAAGTTCATGGTGTCACAAGAAGTTAGTTTGATTATGCTTGTGTTATGGGAAGAATAGCATTCCTCAAACTCACCAGGAACTAGAAAGAAATCTAAAACAGAAGATGGTAAAGAAACTGCAACTTGTATCAAAACGGGATAGTGAAATGCAAGCGATCAAAAGTTCCAAGAGCATATATCTGTATATGCAATCAAAATCATGGTAAGAAGCTGGAATAGGTCATAACAGAAATGAACCACCTTACTCATCTATGCATAGATGGATTTTGTTTTGCATAGCCCATCTATCTGAGAAAGCTGATATCTACCCCTTCAATGCTCAATCTCCCTTTATGAACAGTGTCATCTGTAATTTTAAGGTAAATTTTGAGGAGAGCTCATTTAAATACTGTCATATTTATTTAAGCCCATCTTGAAAGTCTAACATCTCATTTGGCACAGTCTAGATTACCTCCAAAAGAATATCATTATCTATCCCATATAAAGCACTAATATCAAGACAAGCACCATTACGGTACAAGTTTTTCCCCCCCTTCCTAATACAGTTATGGAAACTTGATACGACTAAATATGTTCCAAATGTAGAAATGCCTTCCAAATGATCAAACTTCAATCTAGAAGTCCTATCACTCATCCAGAAACTGTACACGAGTTTATAAAGATTGATTGGAGGTTCCAAAAAGAAAAGGAGAGTATATTCTTGCTCATTTATAGGTGATATGTAAGAAACTGGAGTGTCTTTTTCAGATCACTATACATCAGCTGGCTTACCTCAAGAAAGCCATCTTCCTTGCTCATCGAAAGCTAAAGCTATATACATGGCTCCAAATATATCCAATCCATGTATCTTTCTAAGGTAATTCAACCAGTAAGTATGTAACTTCATGAAGGTTTCCTATCCTGTATTGATTCACTTTTTCAGAGTTACGCCCTTTAACATATCTCTATATTGAACCAGAGAGGAACCCCTAAACTAGGCTTCCTGAGAGAACATTTAATCGCCTATTCAATAGCTCCAAAAAATAGGCTACCAGAATTTCAGGTTGCCATGAAATAATTGTGTAGTGGTATGCACATGCTTGGGCTCCAGAAAAGAGAGCCTCTAAATTCTTCCATGAGTAGGATTTCATGAGTTTTAGCAGGTTATTGTATATCTTTGCATTAATGAACTGAACTGAGCGAGCACTCTCCTTAAAAGTAATACTAGACTTACATATCGGTTTCCAAAAAGAAAATTTAGAAATTTGAAATGCACTTAGCAAACCTAGTGCACATGTCCTCGTCACAAACTACTATACACTTCCTCTGTAGTCTTTCATTTTCTTTCAATTGTTAGGGAAAAAATTTTGTGAAATAGTTTCCATCGAATTATTAAATTTAATCCACTTCATGAGTAGGATTGCATCTGGGTTGGAAGGAATATATTGTGTATCTTTGCACAATTAATGAACTAAGCAAGCACTCTCCTTAATAAGTAATACAAGACTTTCATATCTGTTTCCAAAAACAAAATTTAGAAATTTCACATGCACTTAGCAAGCCAAGTGCACAGGTCCTTGTCACAAACTACTATACATTTCCTCTGTGGTTGTCTTTCAATTTCTTTCAATTGTTGGGAAAAAACACTTATGAAATAGGTTATCCTGCTAATCTGATCCCAAAAGTCATGCTTTATGCAATAAATGCTGTGGTCTCTGGTTTGATTGTTTACATTGAATAGACTTATAATGCAGAGAAAGTCAACAAATTAAGGTGAAAGTAATCATATGATCACCTTAGTTCACATGATTAGTAGTTATTACCTAGGTTCTCACTTTACAAGAACATTACAAAGATGATACCTCAGACTACTACATATATAGCTGGCTGAGGTTAGTCTCATCTCTGATCAACTCTGTCTTGACTTTGGCCAGTCTAACAAACATTCTCTCTTATTTCACCCTCAAAATTCTCAAACACACAATTTCATTGAAGTTTGCCACATAATCTTGACTTTAGAGTAAATTCGGATTTGGCGTTGGTCGGGAAGAGGAGAGAAATCTGCACGATTGCATAACGGTAGGCTTAAACAACCGGCCTACCAAAGGTGATCAAAGAAGTAAGATGGATTTAACTTTGGAGGCAAAGATGGAAGAAGATTACCATTTGCGGTCACATGCAATAAGCATCAAATGTTACAGAAGTGACATGCTTGGCTTCTTGATCACACCCAAGGTGACATCCAACTTGTAATATCAACCAAATAAACAAAAGACTCCTAATTTTCTCCTCAACCTCGCAATTCGATTCAAGATTGAGTCTCAGTCCATTAAGCCAAGACAATTGACTCTCCAAATACAAGGAGCGCCTGAATTGTTGATACAACTTCGGAAACTTTGTGAAAAGACATGACGTAATTAATCAAGGAAGCGCAAAATTTGAGCTATTTATTGTAAATGGCATTTGTGCTGACAGTGTGACTGTGTATGCAGATGTACAATTTTTGGCTACATCTACAGAAATCAGAAGAAAAAGACCGTTATCATAAACAACCCAAATTTAAGCAAGCTTAATCTAGGAGGCCTGTAGCATGCCCTTTTCACTAGTTTTCATTTCATCTCCACTGAAGACTGGGAAAATCAACTAACAGATCATATTAGCCAATTTTACATAACTCTAACACCTTTAAGAAAACGGGATTTTCTCAAAATCCACACTTCATCAAACCCCAACCAGCAGAAAGGGGAAAAAAAAGAAAATGGAAGGAACAATGAACCACAGTTTTCTTACCCAGTCCCCCACCCCCCCACCCCCCCCACAAAAAAAAAAACCAAGGGAAAAAACCCACAGTTTCACTAAGCACCCGAAAAAAGAATTAAAATCTTCAATCTCGCGTTGAAGGAATTTAATTCCGTTTAGCTGCAATTTGATCATCCAACAAAAAGATGCATACCTTACGAATACAGACCTTTGATAGCGTTATTAGCAGAGATCACAGCCATCAAAGTTTCTCCTCACAATTAAACAGAACATATAGCTCATTTGCCAACATAATTACATAGAACAACGCAAACCCTGATCAAGAAAACTGAACTGATTGAAGATTAGCGTTTTCAAGAAGAAGAAGATAGTCACCTAGCAGGGTTGACTGGAGGACTGAAGTACTAGAGTGGAGGCCGAGGATAACCCATTCTCCTTCTCCCATAAAAGGGTAGACCGATGTTACCTATGCGGGTTTCCTGTCGCTTTCTATAGTACCCTTTTCATGACATAGTGCCTTTTTTTTTTTTTTGGTTAAAAACAAAAAAGTCCCCTATGTTAGTACCTAATACTCACACCTAATACACTGAAAAGCCCCATGATTTCAAAACATACAAAATGACACATCATATTTTGAACTAAATTGTAAACTAATAGAATTCGTTAAACTTAGCGCAATTCGGTAAATTTAACGGAATCCGGTAAGTTTTAACAGTCGAGACCGTCATTTTCGTTAATTTAACGAATTCTGTTAGTTTACAATTTAGTTCAAAATATGAGGTGTCATTTTATATATTTTGAAATACGTAGAGTTTTTCTGTGTATTAGATATATCACAAGGAACTTTTTTATTTTTAACCCCTTTTTTTGTACTTGTTACTTTGTCCAACACCAACACATTATTCGAGGAGAAAATGCATGAAATGTAACGTCCCTCGTATGGCTGTTTGTTTTGTTTAGCCCTTCACTTTTAAAATGTTACGTTTACATTCCTCACATTGGTTAAATATACCAATTTAGTCCCAAATTTCAATCACTTTTCGCTTGAAAACAATCACAATTATTAGTAGGGGTGTTTAAAAAGAACCGAAAAAAGCGAATAATCAAAAAAATCGAATTGATCCAATTCAAAAATTAAGATAACAAACCCGTAGTTTTCAAAATAGTTATGTTATCCATACCTACTTGACAAATTAGGTTAGGGTATTATTTTTAAATTTCAAAACTCGTGATCATCCAAACCTACCTGCATATGTATAAGGTTGGTTAAGATAACTGGTATCCAAATCTCAACCTATAATTATTTAGTAGTTTACTAATAATTTAAGTTACAAGACCCATGCTAATGTACATCTAATGTACATTTTATTTTTCACAACTTATAAACTTGTATATTTAATCTTATTTTTTATTTATTTTTTCCATTTTCTACATTCGTCGCTGCTAATGTCATTTATTCTACTACTATATTTTTTCGTCTTTCTTCAAAAAAATTTTTCCTTTCTCATAAATTCTATCTATTTCACAACACTGCTTAGTTTATTTTTAATATATAGAGCTTACATGTTTGGTTGTGAATCAACCCGTCATCCTTACCAAAAAATGAATTAGTAGTTTTCAAGAAGTAGAGAAAATGAAACAAATGTTTAAAATATTTTATACTTTAATTATCTATTATGTTTCGATTTTCTATTTGGTTGGTGGATTCTAGAGTTGTAGGATTAAACAACTTTATTGATTTAGATAACTATTGTATTGTTTTCTTTATTAATCTAATAATGTTTTTCTTTTATTTTTTTTCCTATAAGTACAAGAGGGTTAAGTTACCCTGTATATCTGAACCGATCCTACAAAATAACCGGTTAGCGGTTAACCTATTGAATAGGGTTAGGGTATGGAATGCAATTTTGCTGAACCGTTACTTGTACTTAGGGTTAGTGAAATTGCAAATGAATTGGTTACTCAGTCCATGAACATCCCTGATTATTAGTGGTAAATTTTATAGGTACGATAGGGTCAAAGTGAAAATTTTAACATGTGTATCATACAACCCATATCATTGGGACGAACGCAAGATTTTGATTTAGGGGCGAAGCAAACGATCAAACAATAAGTAACAAAAAATTATTAAAACAAAAGATCCACACTAACTAGAAATCAAAGTCTTAACATCAAAATTTAATAGGTGCTAACTAACAACTAAATGTTTTTAATGAGAAGAGACAGAGTATAAGCAAAATATGAAAATTAAGTCATGAATCAAAATCATGTAAACATTTACTAAATTCAATAAATAGACATTAACCTATATAAGTTAACACAAACATTCTAAGTTACAAATTTAGAATAAGAATATGATTGACAAATTAATAATCATAAAAAAAATCTAAATCACAAATTTAAAATAAAGTGTACGTGTCTAAATAATTAATGATTATGAATCAAAAATATAAAGGAATTGTAAAGGAAAAACTTAGACTTGCCTTGAGAAAATGGCATTTTGTGAAGGATGGATGCTTGAGATGAATTGAATGAACTTGGGGAAAGATCAATGCTTGTTCATTTGGGAGTTGACTTTTGACTAATATATCAAGTCAACCATGTATAAATACAATTCTAAACACGATTAGATTTCCTTTTTTTTGTCAATTATATGTTTCGTTACCTTAACTAATATAAGGATACACTAATACATTAAAGTTATAATAATAAAATTTAAAAATATATATATATATAAAACCTAGAGTGAGTTATTTTAAAACATGTTTTCAAAAAGAAATTAAAGGAGATAAACACGTTGACTAATAAAAAAAAACTTGTTGAGGGAGCAAAACAATAAAGTTCAAACTTAAATTTAATACTTCTTGGATTATTTACAAATCCATCTGCCCCAGTTTGCCCCCTGTGTCCGTTGTTGCTCGTTGGATTGTTTATTTGGATATCAAATTTTTTTCAAATAATATTTTGTTTGCATCATAAATACATTTTCCAATCCACCTTTTTATCTTACGTACATTACATCATAAAACGTGTTACAATAATTATTTCACATAATGCTCTATCCAAACAAAGTCTTAATTTTCAAGACTTTCTCACCTTCATTGCCCTGCCATTTTTATTGATTTGTGTCATTGGTACCTCTGGGCAGATGAAAACTAATTGACTTTTGCCTTTTTGTTGATTATTTTCTCTCAATTTTTGACTCTACAAAGATGTTGGATAGATCAAAAGATATTCTAAGATTGGATAAAAAAGGTCGGATCATGTTGGTGGGTTAAAATCTCTAATTTGTTGTCCCTATAAATTTCGTTATATGTGTCTTGGTCTTATCATGAATTCAGGCAATAATGTGGTCAGAATTAAAGTTTGGGATCAAGTTGGTGCATATCACTTTTGTGAGGCATGTAAATGTATTATTAGGAAAGTGAGGGATCAAAAAATCAAAACCCAAACATTGATAAAGGTAAAAGTAATGAAAGTCAGAGAAGGCATGAAAGTTTTGGGCAATTGATAATGTAAAATAATATAAAGCTACTTTATTTAGTGGGTGCTTATTGTCTTGGCATAAAATTTAACAAAATCCCTCTTATCTTGCTTCCCGAGCGTAATTAACCGTTAACAAAAAGTGATTTTTTACATGCCTTCTCCATACAACCTTCCTATCATATACCAAAATCTCATCTACTAAGTAACGTAAAATATCAATTAAAATAGCAATCTCTAATCTTTTAACTAAAATAGAAGTATAATACAATTAACATAAAAAGTCAACACGTGAATATAGTGAACACAATTAAATTCGTGACATTTTCTTCATTTTTCATTGTAATCAAGAGGTTATATTGAAAATCATTGTTGATTCTCTTTTTGTTAATAAAAAGTATAGCCAAATCACGACTCTTTTTTTTTTTTTTTTTCTTTTTTGGGATAGAACAACTAATTTTTATCAAGAAGAAATCAAGTCCGCCACAAGTGCACAAATAACAAACGATGGAAAAGAAACTCCCAAAAACAAGCATTTGAAATATTACAAGCATACTGACAAAGATTATGAGCAATAACATTTAGAATCATGACACGTTGTACATAAACATGTTAATGGATCGGATCTTACCCAAACCCGATGTGTTTGGATAGAGTTTGGATTTAATTTCTCATAAATCCTATCCAGACTCAAATCCTATAGAAGAGTTATGAGTCTAGGTAGGGTTTGATTTTTCTATAATCCAGATCCAAATCCAAACGCATACTAAACCCTATTTAGACCCATGTATATATAATTAAATTGTATATATATATTAGTAAATTTATAAAATATTCTAATATTCTATGGTTATTAGATCGAATACAATAAGACTTCATGATTGTTTTCCTTTTTCAACCTAATTCTAGTTGTCATTGTAATTAGCCAAAAACTTTTCAGAAAAAAAGAAAAAGTAAAGATAAATAAATGAAAGATTTGACATACATATACTTGAAGTTTTAAAAATAAATAGAAATAGTCGATAGTTGTTATTTTTTTGAATTCATAATATTGCATTCAACTTCTTGAATATTAATATTATTATTTGAAAATAAAAATTGGATGGTATTTATATTTTTTGAAATCTATATATTTTAATATATTTTATTTTAGTGTGTTTATAAAAATACAACGAATACCCATTGGATACCCAAATCCAAGGGCGTCTGGATTTGGACTTATTTTTTCAGACTCATAAGGACATAGAATGTAATCCACATGCCACATTGACATTTCACTATCTCCTCTATTATTATACTTTCACTTACAATGAATTATACTCCACACGGTATAATAGTATGAGTACACAATCAAATCAAACATTTATTTTAATAATGCATAACTCATATCCCATAAATAAATAAAGTAATTTTTTAAAAATAATTTTGTTATTTTTAAAAAAAAAATTAATAAATTTCATTAAATTTTTTACCTTTTGGATTTTTTATTTTCTAAAAAATAATATTATTAATTTCTGAGTTTAAACAATATATCTTTTTCTATCTCTTAAAAAAATATATTTTTATTTTTTGAAAAATAATTATGTAATTATTAAAGAAACATGTGATACCTCAAATGTGAAAATATCATGATAATCCATAACCATACCAAGGTTATAATAGTCCTTCCCTATCAAAATCCATAACCCATATCAAAATCCTTCCTTACCTCCAACAGAGTTTTTGAACCTCCACAACCCATACCAAGATTATAATAGTCCGATGTGTAGTAATTTTTCATGGTCGGATTAAAATAAGTAGGTGGCGGATACATGAGAATTGGATAAGGAAAATCTGGTGAATTTTGGAAATTTGATAGATGGTTGGAAGTGGATAAATTTAGGGGAGATGCATAATTTTGCACTTTTGTAGGAATACTAGAAAATGAAAATTTTGGATAATTTGAAAAATTTTGGTGGTTTTGATTTTTTGAGGAGGATGAATTTTCTATATTTTGAGCATTTAACATATTTTTAAAACTACTAAAATTCCCATCCATAATCACAAAATATTGAAATTTTAGAAAATTGTGCAAAGAGGTTGAGGAAAATGAGTGAAAGAGTAAGAGAAATAATAGATTAAGCGAGATATGAAAAAAAAAAAAAAAGAAGGTGTCTTGTGTGTTTATATAGAGAGAACCAAAAAATGACCATTGAAAAAAAAAATTGAACATTAATTTGCACCATGAAATTTTAGCTGTTGCCCACATTTAGCCAAATTTATCCATTGCAAAAAAAAAAAGGCCCACTATCTCCTCTTTTTCAACAGCATTTACACCTATCATTCTGATGATGCGTGTAATGCTCATTACACGGCCACAACAGGTGGCTGTATAATGAGTCCGTGTCATGGGAGGTATTATACGTCCCATGACATGCCATTAGAGTTGCTCTAAAGGTCTAGATCTGGATCTAAATCTAACTATATTTGAGTCAAGACCATTTAAATTCCAACTAATTTCTTAACCATTTGAGTTAGATTCTGTGACAGCAATTTCGATTAGAAGAAGAAGAAATTTTGTTTTCCATGGACTCTCATTGGCGGTAGACAGTATGATTTTAGCTAATGTAAAATTCAATAAATTGTCAATCTCAAACATTGAATTGATAACTCAAAAATCTCAAATTAATAAAATTGTTGATTAGCTTGACAATATGGAGTTCAATAGAATTGGATAGTTATAAGGAGGTTGACTGACGATAAAAATTTCATTGTTGGTTGGCAAAATTTTTTGATAATTGTGGATTATAAGGCTTTAAGAATTATTTTGTGGTAAAAATTTATGTAACAAACAAAATTATGATATTGTGTTTTGGGGCACTTATGAGAAGCAACTATGGTGACTTTAATGATGAATGATATGTTTGAATATCTTGATCATGAAGTATTGTCAACCAAATTATTTGTTATGTATAAAGTTCCTCTTCCACTACCTTGTGTACAATATGAAGTTCACCCACCAGATTACCCTTTTTGGTATTATACTAATTACACCATATTTAAAGGTGAACATTGCCCTTCTGTTAACGTTTGTTGGAAAAAAAGAGAAGGAAAATTTGGAGGCTTCAAAGCTATATCCAGTCTAAATTTCAGCAGAGTCCGAGAGATTGTCGACATTTTTAGATGCAGACTTACGAAACCTGCTTTAGCAGTCAATTATGTGTTCTAAATCCTACCAATTGAACATGCGTCAAACATCACCTTTCTAGTTCCGTTAATACATATACAACCACAAAAACATGCACAGATTTTCATTTCTGTCCAGGTGCGCCAAAAAAGTTGAAGAGGATATATATACATCAGTATTGTTTTGGCTAATTATATACAAGCAAAGGGAGAAATAACCTGAAGCAGATAAATGTTTAGATATATATATCTAAAATTTACATGCTTTAGAGGAAGAATGCAAAGTCGACACTCAACTCTGCAGGACAACTTCTCCATTAAAAATGATTTCTGGATGCAGACACCAGACTAATAACAGGGAATATGCTAGTCAATCACGTTACCCTGGATCTTCCATGAGAGAAGGCTATTAACATGTGCAAAATAGTGGCCAACAACTGGAAAACTTCCCTCCTGCATTTCTACTTTTCTCATATTTTGCAAAGAGCAGTCATAAGCATATAAAGAGCCATCTTTATCCTCAAAAATCATTTCGCCACAAATCCTTGAAGAGTAAAGAGGGATCAGATGACTGTTGCAATCCACTGTGATGCTATATTGCTTTGTCCAACCATCACCACATAAATTCCTCAAGATCCACACATCAATTCGGCACAACTTTTTACGAGTCACAAATCCAAGACCCCCATGCATTTCCATAACCCTATCGTGAAGTTTACTTCTTCTCGGGAGAGGTATACGATGAAACTTCTCATCATCCACTGTCATATACACTAGGTACTTACTATGCATAGTTTTTGGAACCCAATGTATGGCCCCAATTGCAAAAACTGGATCATATACAAACCAGCGGAAAGCTCTGAATGCAGGTCCATCGACTATTCTCCATGATTTAGCTCCAAGATCAAGGATTTCACAGCTAACAAATTGCATCTCGCCCTGAAACAAGTGAACCAGTTTGAAATTCCTGGTAGTCTGGCAAAATGCAAGTCCATATGATTCATTATGAGGAGAACATAAACTACCCGAGGGAAGTGCAGTCAATTCCTTAGTAACAGGATTCATAACTATTAATCCACCATTTTTCATCTTGTCATCAAGTACAATTAGACCACCGCCAGCTGCTCTAATTGTTCCCAGACAAGTGGTATTATACTCTTCTATCTTCATCTTGCCATTCTCAATTTCCATGAACTTGATGTGAAGTAACAAGGATGGATCTATAAGAGGTTGCTGACGTACAGGCACAGATTGCAATTGAAAAAGCTTAGATTCAACAGAAAAAGCATTCGGTTTTTCTTGCAAGTTAGGCCTGCTATAAGGAAAAAAAGTATCTCTTTTTGAAGGATGTAGAAAAACTAAGACACTTTCAGAACGTTGGAGATAGGCTTCAATGAAGATGGTGCTGTTGATAATCCTGTACCATGTCTTACAGACAAACCTAGATCTTTGGAGAGATTCATGAGGAAGTCGAACAAGTATATTTGATATGCATTCTGTTGGAAGATAAGGAATAAGGGTCTCATGTCGCTTTCTCTTCTCTTCCTCCAGCTCCTCCTTCCGTGATGCTCTTTGTTCTACTAACTTTAGCAAGCTAATAGATTTGTCCGCCATCAACTTATTAGACACAACATCCAGCAAAGCCCTGATTAAAGCTGTAAACAAAATTACTTCTGCGCTAATAAAGGACTTCAATTCTTGAGAATGATAAGAAGCTACTGGTTTGGCTCATACTATGACAGCTACCTATATCATGATTAGTGTTTTTGTGATGGTAACTACTAGCAGTTAGTACAAAGGATTAACAGGAATGAGATTGTTACTTCAAGCAGTATAAGGGTAATGAAATTGTTTTTTTTTTTTTTGGTGTCTTTTGGGGTCTAACCAGACAGTAATGTATATCATGGTTAGTATTTTTGCAATGGTAACCATTAGCAGACAGTTATCTGTGTCTTGAGGGATAATGAAATTGTTATTTGCGTCTTGTGGGGTCTAATGAGACAGTCACATATATCATGATTAGTGTTTTTGGGATAGTAATCACTAGCAGTTAGTACAAAGGATTAACAGGAATTTAACTTGACAATTAGGATATAGCTTCACAAAGGCAACTCCACGGGATTTGTGTACCACATTGAGCGAGATGCATGCAGTCTGAATAAACAAAAACAGTAGTAATTTGAAGTTACCAAACAATTTGCAAATATATTTGAGGTAGGTAAACTCTTATCTCAAGTGTCACTATTAACACCTTAAACTATTCCCAGTGTACAAAAAGTCACTTTTCCTATTTAATAAACAAACCTTAGATTTTCTAAAGTGGAAACTAGTAAAAGTTCAAAAAAAAATCTTTTTCAGCTGACGTCTGAAGATTTATTGTCATATCTGTTTGATATCTCCTCCGGCAGATATATTCTTTGGTTTCAGAATTTTGTGCTTGACTAGAATTTTAGAAACCAAGAAAACTAGTTTAGTGATAATCTAACAATCATAAACCAAGTGGTCTAAACAAAACCAACTTAATGGAGATGAACAAAGCACAACATAAAAATGTGCCCACAATTTCAGCAGATTTCAGAGGTTTGGTATCTAGATTATGCTGACTCTTTCAACTTTTCATTCAAACGGCAACAATAATATGCAACAGCACCTATTGATAATGTGATTTGCAGAACCCGAATCTCTAGGACTGAATATTATCCAGAAACCATTCTACGTGTTATAGAGATATGTAACAAAGATACACACCCTAGAATAGCTATGATAAGCACCCTTAAATTAAACCTCCGATACTCGATCAAACACAAACATTTACAGCAAAATCATCCAAATAGAGCAATTAACTATGGCGGACGATAATTTAATTGTGTCAGAACTGAGAAACCTCAAGCCATAGATCTTTAGCATTCTCTTGTTTATGCTTGTTTCATGGGGAAATAACATTCTCTATTCCCACCAAGAACCAGACAGAAATGTAAAAACAAAAGGTAGACAGAAACTGCAGAAAGCACAAAAAACTGGAACAATAGAATGCAATTGACAAAAACCTCCCACTGCGATTGTATCTAACCTTGCAATCAAAATCATGGTAAGAAGATGGGTAGGTCAGAACAGAAATAACCTAGCTTACTAATCTATGCATATATGGCTTCTCTTTACATAACTAATCTATCAGAGAACACTTCTAGTTACCCTTTCAACGCCGTAACCATCTTCATTTATGCTCAATCTTAATACGGCTGGCCTGCTTTCAAATTCAATTTAGCTTTTCAGCGAAGCTCACTAAATTAGTGTCTTTCTGGTTGTAACCCAGCTCGAAAGTCTAAAGTCTCATCTTGCATATTCCAGATTACATTTCAAAGAGTTGTCCTTCCCAAAATAGCACTAATGTCAAGACAGGCACCTGTAACATATAGTTTTTCTTAGAAAACTAATATGGTTAGTGGTAGTTTGATACTAACATCTTTTTTCCACAAATAGAAATGCCTTCTAAGAGGCTTTGACCTAGAATTTCAAACACACATCCAGAAACTATATTGATGTTTCAAAAAGAAAAGGAGAGTTAATAGGCGCTCATTATAGGTGATTTGATAAGAAATTGGACTGCCTTTTTCAGCTCACTATGCAGCAGCTACTTGCCTCAAGAAAGCTATCTTCCTTGCTCACTGAAAGCTAAAGCTTTTTAACGTCATTCCAGAAATACGTCATCTATATATTTTTTCTAAAGTACATGAACCAGTTAGTTTGTAATCTTTGCTTTCCTTATGAAAATTTTGCATCCTGTATTAATTTACTTTTCAGCTCTATACCTCTTAACATTTTTTTTCTATATTACAACAGAGAAGACTTGCACATTTACAAAACACAATTGTTTAATAACCTATTTAATAGCTCCAATGAGCCTCTGAATTCCTTCCTACTAGACGGGTCATTCAAGAGAGATACAGTTACACAAGCAAATTAAAAAAAAAAAAGAAACAGAGAGAGAGAGATGCACAAGCAACTAACTGTCCAATCTGATTCTAGGAACCATTCTGCAGAATTCTGTATTTGAAAGGTGCAATGACATCAGGTTTGAGGAAAAATAAATGATGCCAGGAGCATCCAATTCTTACAATACTTTACTAAGTTGAAGAATCCAATCCAACTTTTTGACTTTAATCCTCTACATGTGTTGGATTCAATGAGGTGTGGCACGATGTATTATGTTTTTTGTGGTCTAGCAATTAACTGAACCAGCACTATCCTTAACAGCAATGCTAGACTTCCACATCGATTTTCAGAGAAGGTATTTTTAAAATTGAAAAGCATTTAAAAAACCTATAGCACAAGTCCTCATGACAAACTAGTATCTGCTTTCTCTATTCTTCTGTTTGATTTTCTTTTAATTGCTTGAGGAAAAAATTTTTGTGAATCATGTTCCATAAGCTCCAAAAATTTTGATCCTGCTAAACTAATCCAAAAAGTTATGCTTGTCACCATAGACCAACCCTTTTCTGCAATAAGCTTATAATACAAAGATAGCAGCGCAATTTTACTGAATTTACGGTAAAGCTAATCCTTTGTCTTGGAATATATTATAGCATAGCTCATAATTATCACCTTTGTTCACATTGTATGACTACATTATGAAGATAAAAGCTCAGACTCAAATATATAACTGGCTGAGGTTATTCTCATCTTCGATCCTCTTTATGTCGACTTTAGCGACTATAAAAATCATTTTCTCTAATTCCACACCAAACTTCTCAAACACACCATTTTGTTGTGTTTGATACGTAATTTTGGCTCTCCTTGTAAACGTGATCAAAGAAGCAACATGGCTTTAACTTTGGAGGCAAAGTGGGAAGAAAATTACCGTATCTTTTCCCATAAAACAAAGTACATGAGTAAAGCATTAAAACTTACAAAAGCTAAATGCTTGGCTTCATAATCGCACCCCAAGGAGACATAGTTAAGTTATGATCAAATTACGCAGAAGATTGCAACCTTCTCCTCAACATCCCAAGTCGACTCAAGATTAGTCTCAGTCCTTGAAGCCAAAATAGGCCCCGTAGAGCGCTCTTTTCACTAATTTATCCACATATTTTCAGATAATCATCTCTATGGAAGACTGGGAAAACCGCTCAACAGACCATACTGGCCAATTTTCCACAGCTATAAAATCTTTAGGAAATGGGATTTCTCAAAATCCATACTTCATCAAGCCCCCACCCAAATGAAAACGAAAAAAAAAAAAAAATCAACCCGAATTTAATTTATTTGAGAATAATTTGATCAACCCAACAAAAAGGAACTAAAAGATGAAAACTTCGTGACTACAGACCCTTCAATAACGTTATTAACAGAAACGATAGCCATCACCTTTTTCTCCTCACCATTAAAGAACAAGCAAATGATATACTTCATTTAGCAACAAAATTAGATAGAAAAAGTTAAAGCCCGGATCAAGAAATTTGAACCAATTGAAGATTAACGTTTTCAAGAAGAAGATAGTTACCTAGACAAAGTTGACTGGAGGACTGAAGGACTTGAGTACGATGATGTTCTCTAATTGTTCTCTTCCCAAACTTAGCTGGGCACACATTTCATATGCTCATAATACACAGCATGACTCTAATGTGTTGAATGAAACATTAAAAGCCAGAGAGCAAGATAGGATCAGCTGGAGGTTGAAACAGATTGCAAGCTACTGATCGATCAATTGCACACAGGACTTTCAGCACTCGACTTCACTGTAGTTTGGGAGTTTAGAATAGAAAAGAAAAGAAGAAAAAGGGTAGGTTAAAAAAGAGAGAGGATGGGTAACGATCAAGTTTTCTATCTAGTTGTTTGGGAGTTTTAAGATAGAAAATAAGGTAAGTAATTTTTTTTTATTTGAGAGTTGAATACAAATAAAAAGAAAAGATATTTAAGTAAGTAACTCTATAAATATATATTTTCTATAAAATGAAAGGAGGTGTTTTGATGAGGATTTTCATAGTAGATAACTCATCAAAAATTAAAATTTTTTGTATCAAGATTTCAAGGATAGTTTAGTTATATTTAAAATTTACTTAAGACTTTCAGACTTTCCTTCCCTTGCTGACCAATTTTGGACGGATAGTTTTCCTTTACAAGGAGGAAGATGAAATCTTTCTCAATCTTTTATTTTTCTTCGTATTTTTGCTTTCAAACAATAGAAAAACTTTATTATCATTTCAAAACCTTTCTTTTCTTTTCATTTCCTTCCTTCACTAGCATAAATGTGCTGCAAGAAACCTCAGTGCTCAGCTCTTTGTTTGTTCTGTGTGGTTCTCTTTTGCAAGTAAAAATGTTACAAAAGATACACCGGGTGAAAGACCACTCCCCAGTTGGATCAATAGGGAGACTAGATGATTTGGGCGATTGTGCCAAAGGGAGAAATGTAGTTTTTGCCCCAAATGTTTAGAATCTGTACTATTTCGGTCTTTAAAATTTTGATAAAATTAAATCTGGCCCCCAATATTTTGATATTTATGCTATTTTAGTCTTTAAACTTTTAGTAAAAACAACAAAAAAATATCAATGCTTTTAATTTGAAGCAAATTGAGGACAGTTGACAGATTTTTTTCAAGATGATTGCACGCTTTAAAAGCTATAGTAGGCAAAAGACAATTTTTTGTAGGACCACAGTCAATACAATAAGCCCAAAAGCAAAAGCTGCATCAATATCACCAACTAGATATCTTTGGGACATAAATAAATAGACTACTTAGAAGTTTTTCTTGTGATGAAATATTCGAAACTACATTCAGGGTAAATACAAGAACAGGAGCAAATATGTCAAGTCATAGATGAAAAATCCTACCAGACGCAACATCGGCTCTGCCTATTATATCACAACCTTATGCTTCTGGGATCATGCAAGAGCTCGGAAAAGGAAATTCTGGTGTGAATACAATAAGCTTTGATCATATTCTAAAATAGGGTATACTGATTCCAACCATTTGCAAAGACAATTTAAAACAACAGAACCAGAATAGGAACTCTTATTCCTCGCTGGTAAACCACTAAAGAGAGAACACCACTTATGTCAATCTGATACGACAAGTTTCAATCACCAAGACGATGAAAATCTCTTCAATCTACGAGTTCTGAATGAAAGCATCTGACTTGATTGTCATAAAATCAAGCTTTTAGAAGCAATATGCAGCCTCAGAATTGAGACTTATCAAGGCTGTCGAAAAAGGGGTGTTCTAGCGCTGCTTTGGCTGATATTCTCTCAGCTGGATCATACTTAAGCATCTTCTGCATCAACGAAAGGAAATAGGATGACAATTTCTTCAGACTTTAAGCAGACTGATATTGAACAAGCTCCCTGATCAATTTATAGCTGAAACTCAAACTTTAGACAAGGCTGGGCTAGCTAGCATCATGAACTTGGAAACGAGAGAGAGAGAGAGAGAGAGAGAAGGAAAGGGGAACAGGACTCAACACATTGCGTATCTCAATCTTGAGAGAAAATGTATACCCGCTCTATTTTAATTGCCAATTAAATGGTTCAAGAAATACGTAAACTGACTAAAACTTGATCATCCAATAAAGGATATTGGCTTAAGTATGTTTTAAGACCATAAGAACTTTTAGTACTGATTGAAATCATATTATTTAGGCCTTGGAACTTACAGATAGAAGGTCAACACCATCAGGCCCTAATGATGGAACAGCTCGTGCAAGGTTCTGGGGCTCCCATTGGGGGTACACATGCCAATCACGTAGTGAGCAAACTTCAGGCCACTGCTTCTCCGTAGGTGTCCCTAGCAGCCTTTAATGACATTCAGACATAAAAAAAACCAAGCACATATTTGTTTCATTAGTAAAACATGAGCTTTATTCTTCATTGACATCCAATCACATATAATGCATACCAAACCAAACAGCTGAGCATTCTATTCTGTGAAACAAAAGCAGATATCTTGTACATTACATGTGAACTTAAACATTGGCTACTGCAATAGAGGAAGCAACAATTTGTTATGCTCACTGTTTCGTATCTCGCAAATTTCTAGTTTCCCTAGAGGATCCCTTAATTAATATTTCACAAAAGCATAGGTAACACACCGCAATTTATGACAGGACAGAAGACTGTGCTTTTATTTACTTAAAGGAATATCTCGAGACAATTCTCGCAAGATGTCTTTTGCGTATCAAAGAGATCTTTCTAGTGCTTTAGATAAAAGCCAATAAGACACTTTTAAGTAAGTAGTGCCACAAAAAACTTGAACAATTGTTCCCCCAGCCTGCTGATAAATAAAAGACACTAAAGGAGCCAGGAATACGAAGGTTGGCACGGATAATTTATGCAAGTTCTGTTAGCGGAAGACCGGACGAAACACATTATAATTTAGGCTAATGCTGGCCTCATGGATCATAGATGTCAACTGCAGTTAAAAACTTGAATAATTTGCATTTATAGCTCTCTACCTGAATATATGAAGCAGTTGTTGAAACTCAGAATCCCCTGGAAATAAGGCTTGCCTTCTTACCATCTCAGCTGAGAAAAGAGCCAGAGGAACAATGAGACTGTAAACAACAATGACACAAATTTACTATGGGGACAGAATTAAGGTGATCCCAGAAACAAGGGAATACTAAGAAATTAATGGTAGCAATAGACAACAGGAAGGACAGGGACTCCTACCAAAAATGCAACCAACAGACCACATATCAACAGCAGTGGAGTAATGTGTGGATCCCAAGAGAACTTCCGGAGCTCTGTACCAGAGGGTGACGATCTATACCCAGAAGAAATGAAAATCTAAATCAATTTTGTATATTTGGACAACAACATCATCACAAAATGAACAGTAATAAGTCTAGAAATCAACCTCGTGGGTGTAGCTTTTGAGTGGGACAGTGAAAGCCCTGCCAAGTCCAAGATCAGCAATCTTTAGAATGCCCTTCTCCTTATCAACAAGAAGGTTCTGGGGCTTGAGATCCCGGTGGAGTACACCATGGCTGTGGCAGTGGGCAACACCCTTGCAGAGCTGAAAGAGAAAGCTCTGGATGAGGGAAGGTGGAAGTGGCCTGGGGTTGGGGCCCTTGCGGTGGGAGTCAATGAACTTCTTGAGGTCAGTGTCAAGGTACTCAAAGACAAGGTAGAGGAGCGGCTTGCCATTGCCACTGTCACTGCCACCATTCTTTTTGTTGCCATCAACAATATGCTCAACACATAGCAGACGGACCACGTACAGGGACTGGGAAAGCATCTGGAGCAGGGACACCTCACGGAGAGCAGTAGGGGGCACACCTTCCTCATCCATTTCCAAACGTGTTTTCTTGAGGGCTACCAACTGTCCAGTAGCCTTGTCCTTAGCTTTGTACACCTTACCATAAGTCCCTTCCCCTACCTTCTCAAGCTTCTCATACTTCTCCATACTAAACCTTCCTGGAAGTGATGCCTTTCAGTCCTATTTTACACAACAAAGATTCTAACTACAAACAGAATGGGAGTCATAAAAGCAAGACTTCAGTGGAACAATAATTTTACATCATTTAGGGAATTCCAAAATGGCAAATCATTTGGACACTTAAATTTCTGGATCCTTGATGCTATGTCATCTTAAGCTATGCTTAATTCACAAAGATTTTGCTTAGTCCACAAACTCTAGTCAGTTCGACAATATTTTCAAGCACATTTTTGAGGTCTTTAAAACTAATCAGTAGTTCTTCTGGAACAGATTAGATCATGATCAACCATCACACTATTGTGTCCCACATATTACTATTCCTTGAACTCTTAATTGCAAAATCCTAATACATCATGGAAAGAAAATGCAACCCAGAATGGCAAATTACCTTCTTCAGCACATAGACCAGCCAGAATTAAGATTGAACATTTTGCAAAGAAGGCATTCACAGTAAGGAATGAGCATTGAAACAAACACTTTGAAGGCATCCCATATCATCCACCAGAAAAGAAAAAAAAAAAAAAAAGAAGAGACAGACAAATAAAAAAGAAAACGAAAGAAAAACAAGAATACACAAAAGAACAGTGGTTTTGACTTAGCATGAGAAATATTCCTATAATAAATACTAAAGAGTGATGAAAGACACAAAAGAATGAACAGATTCAGAGACCACAGGATCTTTACAATCAACATAATGTACTAATTTATGCGGACTAAAATGAACCATTTTCCTATACGAGCTAAACCCAAAGACGAAAAGATCAAAAACGTAAAAACGAAGAAGGAAAACTTATTCGCATGAGTCGAGAAATGCTTACCGGTTGAGGATCGGGGACTTTGAAGAAGAGGTTTCTGTTTTTGCAAGAATGGATTCTAAAATTGAATAAAAGGAGGAAGAGGGAAGGCTAAAAAATTGGGGCAGAAACATTAAATGTATCCCATCATCCCCATTTTGCCCCTCATCCGCTCCAACGGCTCCCCATTAGCACGTGTTTCCCTCCTCACAATTTTGAATCGAGTCACCACGTGTCATTCTTAGGCAAATTTCTACGAATAATGATGAATTCAAAAAGCATATTTTCAAGATGCAATGATAGGAGATTATTTGAAATAACTAGTTTTGTACCCGTTTGATGAATAGAAATCTTCGAAAAATAATAAATTATTTAGTCAATTTTATAAAAATGTCGATATGAAATACAAACTTAATATATATTCTATTATAACCTTTCTTAAGTATATTACTATGTGCACATCATAATATAAAGTATTTTTATAATATAAATATGAAAATCTAATTCAGTGAATAATAATTCAAAAATGAAAAAAATAACATTCGAC